TGACCTTATCACACTACGTTAAACCAAAACATTCTAGTTTTAACGCTAAGGATTATGGTCGGCACCAGAGGGGATCAGAGTGACTGCATATCAAATAAAATGTAGATGAGCTATCATTGATAAATGATGTACATCAAAACTCGATGCMCTAAARTTCTACTTTCGGAAAGAATRTTAATAGGTCCAAATTTCGAGTCTTTCTGAGCATCTATCCACAATGTAAAAATACTGTGGGGTCATTTTGCCACTAGGCAGTTGCGTTTGGGAATGTTTTTTTTACTTTGAGTAGAGAAAACCAGAGAAAATTTGATTAATTTGACAGCATGTAATCACTATTCAGATCAATAATTGAAAACATTTCTTCTTGGACGAAAATTGCGAAACATTCGAAAAGACTTGGAATTCAAATAGACCTATCCATATGGGTCTAATAATCATGAAGCAACAGATTTCAAGAAGATATTGATCAAAAATTCTTAATAATTTTGGCAAAAAAAAGTAAATGAAGTCATTTACTTCATCCTTTTGTTCTTCCATCTTTTAAATAAAAATTTATCTGATGTGGGATAATTCCAAAACAATCTTTTAATAGAAATAAATGAGTTATATATTTGTATTGCTTGAAGTTTTGAAATAAGGTCATTTTCATGCAAGAAGCACTTTAAATTTCACTCTTCCGTCCAATCCATACATGCATTGCGTTTGGTGAGGGATCAAATTACTGGAAACTCATTCATTATTTTACATCGACTATATTCAAAAAATAACAAACCACATTAATCGACGCCTGTAGTTTATTCTTTAGGTATAATTTGTTAGGTGAGATTCTGTTCAGCGTTTGATCATTGATTGTTTTTTTTTACAATGTTTGCATTGTGGTATGAGATTGGCAAGGCAACTTTCTAGATAATATTTATACTGCATGCAATCGAAGTTAAAGGGAATCATCTAAAGCGAGACTTGGAGACTGCACCACTGGTTTATTTTGTGAAAGTATTCGATGTGTTTTTTGATGTTTTGTTTCTATAAACTAAACATTAAAGTTAATTTTTCTATTTCGTGCGCTGCTTTTTCACTTTCCTTTAGTTAATGGTTAACAAAAGACCAGGAACCCTACACGACCAGTATGACGTTATATTAACTTCCGCGGTTTTTAAACTGAACATTCAATTAATGAAAACCAGCTGCAGTATCGAGCTTTTGTTTGTTTATGTTTGAATCTAAAAATACTTCGCAAAAACTTGCTCTTTATTGATTTAAGCTTACTGAAAACAGTCACTATGCATTAATAAATAATTTGAAGACACCCAATCAATACTCCAGTTTCGAGATCTCATTTGTGCAGCCTTTAAACACCGAAAGCATGTAATATATTATTTTATTCAGCAGAGATGCTATTGTAATGCAAAAACTCTGTGTACAAAGAAGACATTAAAAATTATGCTTGATTTAAGCTTCGATAAGCTAAGCTAACACTAAAGAGAATTCGAAACTGGAGTATACACATACAAATTGCCAAGGTGTATATATGTATGAATTTGGTAGAAATGGCGTTATACCTATAATTGTATTTGTCTTTGCGATTTCACTGATTTCTTTAAAGTGCTTCTTGCATGAAAATGCTCTTATTTCAAAACTTCAAGCAATACAAATATATGACTCATTTAATATTAAAAACAATTGCGGGAAAATATTTGTTCTGGAATTATCCCAAATCAGAGAAATTTTGATTCAAAAGATGGAAGAACAAAAGGATGGAGTAAGTGACGTCATTTACTCCAACGTTTTTTGCTCAAAATATTAAGGCTTTGTATCAATATCTTCTTGAAATCTGTTCCTTCATGATTATTAGAACCATATGGATTTGATTTCCAATTTTCGTTCAAGTAAGCCTTTAATTAAAGGAGCATTGTCCTCCAGCATTCAATGCGGTCGTGCTTTAGATTCCATTCACAATCCGTTTCCATCCGTCGATGTTAATTAAGATGGGGTCTTACAATTTCTTTAAAGGACAATAATTATTAATTTGTTTACATTTCGGTTCATTAACATATCATTAGCATAAGGATATAACGTTTTAACCTAACTATCAGTAAATCAGCACTGAATATTGAAATAACATTGTACAATAAGCTTTTATACTTTTTACGTCAAGCGGATTTAAAAACTCCAATTTTTAGAGAGATTATACGAGCTAATTGGCGCTTTTGCCACTCAACATCTTTGAACCCTTATACCTCATAAACTATTGCATGTAAAGGCGTCAAACGTTTGAAGTTTATAGTTTTTAATAAGCCCTTCTACGTTATAAACTGATTTTACTTATTTGTTTAATTTCAACTTTATGCTACTCAGCAAAATTTTGTAAACAAAGTCCCGCCTATAATTTGAATCTCCATAAAAAGGTATATGTACAAAAACAGCTCAAAATTCGATGTTCAGCTTTCATGGTACCCGAAAATCTCGTCGTCTGCGCAAGCGAAAAATCGCTCGTGTAGCCCCGTTGTGCTTCCCAAGGTGGTGGTAAGAGGCAGAACGTCTTGTGTTAGTGCGCGACCTTGATTCAGAAAATTGAATTTTGACCCCTTATTTTTTATACTTTTTTAAAATAAATCGATTTTCATCAAACTTAAATATTACTTTTTATTAATCCGACCGTAATAATCGACATTTTAGAATCGTTTCTGAATAAATGAGCAAAAAGATTCATATCGGGTGGCATTTATAGTCGGGCATTATGCCAGGCGTGTTCACCCGAACTTGATACAAGGTTTTGTATGCAATGACTTATTTGCCTGGAGAGGTTTTCTTTCCTGAATTTCTCGCTGGCAACCAGTTGTGACTTACAGCTGGCTGGAACATAAGAACAGATATATTTCTCCCAGGTACCCGTCGGCTCCTCCCAA